CGCTTGCAATGCTTCCATTTTGGTAATACAGTTTTGTCATTTCGACCCCTTTTTGAATTGAATAAGTCATTGTTCAATATTTATCACAATCAGGTAGGTAACTTAGCAATTTGGAATTAAATACAAAATTTTTCTATGTCATACGATGACACTGACTGATGATAAGTGAAGGGTCCGGCGAATAACGACAATAGTCCTGTTGGAAAGTAAAATTAATGAAAAAATATGTCGTAAAGAATATAGCATCTCACAAACCGGCGCGAAATATTCGCTTTGGCTGCGAAAATTTCGCGGCGATGAATTCGCGATCAGATTAAAACGCGGCGGTTTACGGTCAGGCTCAGACTTGTGCGAAGCGAATGCGATTGTTCGCAATGGCAAAAACGGAATTATTGATAGAAATAGTGAAAAAGTATCCTTGTTTGTATGATTTGTCGAACGATGAAGACAGGAATGTGAGAAAGAAAGACAAGATTTGGATGGAAGTAGGAAAAGAATTAAATACAAATGGTATGTACCTAATATTTTTTACTAACTTGTTAAATAATTTACAGTCTATACAAATGTGAAAACGAACATTCTATATATTGGTCATAGGCATATCAGAATTAAAATAATTTACGAATTTGTCACGAGTAGAAAATGCTAGCCTTGCTGCCCGCCGAGGATCATTTGCTATATCAGTAAAAGCTCCAAGCACGGGTTCTGGTGGATCTAAGAATTTAAAATATTTGTCATCGCCACTTTTACTTCGTAAAAAATTGTGTAAAACACATGCCGTACGTACAATTAGAATAGTAGTATCTACTTTAGTTTCTAATGACCTGTAAAATATTCGCCATTTTTGAGACAAAATACCAAACGCATTTTCCACGACCCTTCTAGCTCGGCAAAGTCTTACATTGAATTTCTCTTTTCTGCCGTCTGTTAAAGTCTGCTTATAAGGAAATGGTCTCATAAGGTATGGTTTTAAAGCAAATGCTTCATCACCAATTAAGACGTACGAGCAGATTTCATTTTGCCCAGGGAGAAATCTAGGTGCAGGGACGCTCATTAAATTTTGTTCAAATCGTTTTCCCATGTTTGAGGTTTGGAAAATACCCCCATCACTATTTTTTCCGAAACCACCAATATCAACACATATAAATTTATAGTCCGAGCCAACAATGGCCATAAGTACTATTGAATATTTATGTAAATAGCACCAGTAATTGGAGCCACTGTTGTTAGGTCTCTTGATTGTTACATGTCTACCGTCCACGCTGCCAATGCAATTGGGAAATCCCCATCTATTTTCAAATTCTTCAGCACATTTTTTCCAAACATTCTCTGTTGGTTCTGGTAAATATATATGCTCCATATGTCTGCATATCGCTTCACAGACTTCGGTTACGATTGCACTCACTGTTGTAAAGCCAACTCGAAAGCTACGCCCAATGGTATAGAAGGTGTCACCAGTGGCAAGGAATCTATAAAAAAAATCGTTTTTAGGTGATGAAGTAAAAAAAAGGTGGAAGAATATCAGAGACACATTTGCAAAATATATAAAATCTACCAAACCAAAGACCGGCCAAGCAGTGGGCAACATAAAGAAATGGCGGTGGGCTGACTACATGGAATTTTTCCGTCCTTTTTTGGCATTTGCCAAACGTCGTCTAATGTGAAAGATATTGACGTCATACATTATGAGACTGCCGAATTTAATCCAAATGTATATCAGGAAAGGGCTGGAAATGTAGAAACCGAAAATTTGGAAGACCGCGGCCATGGAGAAGATGAAAATGCTGATGTAGATACAGAAGATGCACAGAACGCCTCGGCAACACAGACAGCACCACCTTCTTCATTGAACACTACAGCAGTGACTACTCCAGGGCACACCTTTCCGCAGACTGCAACTACACCAAAATATAAAACGAGCAGAAAACGCTAGGAACCACCATCTTCGTCTGGACAACAGCTCATTGATTATTTTGAAGGTAAAAAACCTAAAAAAGAAAACGAGGCCATTGATTCACTTTTCTTGGCACATGCACAGACTGTGAAAACACTTCCCTTAAAGCATCAAGCCCGAATAAAACTAAAAATAGCCGAATTAATAGCGCACGAAGAATTTGAACATATTGAAGAAATGTCTTCAGCGTCTACCCAGAATTCTGCAAGTATGTATGATAGTAGTATGTCGTCCTTCCCAAGCGGCACTGGGTTTACTCCAATAATATACCCAACAGAGGAGGCAAATTCTGCCTCGAATTATTTAGCAACATTTAATCCTAGTGGCAACATGTAGTCCAATTATTACAATAAAATATTTATTTCACGATCGCTGAAGTTTTCGTATTCGATAAGCCTACTAATTTTAATACATATAATTTTTTTACCTGAGTGTAATAGCAAGTCGTTCTTCTGGCGAAATAGCTTCACGATAATTTGTGTCAGATTTTCGTATTTCATCTTTCACCAAGTTCAATATTTCATCGAAACACTCTGGAGTCATTCTAAAATATACGTAAAAGCGCTGTTCATCCAGCCGAAGTTGTGGCATCAAGGTATGGTATTCCCCAAATTTATTTCGTTCCAAGTTAATATCATGTACCTACTTCCTTCGTTTCCTAAGCAAAATTGAAAATATTTGTTTTATGTACTTCGTTAAACTTAATACATACCCAACTATCAAATGGCGTTAAATAAACATAACTTACCGTGCATTTTGTTCCTCTTCTAAAGCAAGAAATAGAAGTGCCTCCTCTTCTTCTGAAGACGAGCTCATTGCAAAAGGCAAAAATAAAATGTACGCAACCTGTCGAAACCTTCACGTTCGCGGAGCGAATAAGACGCTTTGGTATGAATAAACAGACGAAACAGATTGCGAATTTCGCTCTGAATTGCGTTGCGAATACTTCGCCGCGATTATTTCGCGCCGGTTTGTGGGATGCTTTATATTGTAAACTCAAATAGCTTCACAACGATTTAAAATTGGTGTATACTTTATTATACAAAAGTTACTAGAAACGTCATAGAAAATCTAAAAATTCCATTCGAAAGTCTAAAGTGTAACGCATTATCTTATTTTTTGATCAGCGTGTATTGTACGAGATGAAAATACGTCCCCTAGAAATCAAAATAAACGTGTCCGAGCGATTTCCCAAAATATACCGGGAGAGTCACAAATGCGGGTATGACCTTTTCGTAGGGCCATCCTGTCTATGAAACGCTCGTTCCACACTTCACAAAACCACACACTCTGTATTGGCAGCATGAAGAGCATTGTCTCTTACATGATTTACCTCACTGCCTATTTTGCTTGATGCTTGAGTTGTATAGCGTCACCGGTAACGTGCTGTGTAGCTTTCGACAAAAATATTCTTTCGATGAACATACATTACTTTCCTCAAAAGACGTAAAACATACATTATTTGATTGTTAGGTCTACTGAATGCAAATAACCCGTCAAGCGTCAAACCTATGTTTGCCTACTCCTCCAAATTTGAATTTTTCATTATGTTTGCCAGCCCTTTTGTCTTTTCGGTTAAAAAGACATCTCCTCCACGGAAGTAACGCACTTCCATGCGGCCTTGAAATCGTGGGCCTTGTCAATATTACAGGTGAGGTGTAGCATTAGTCTAATCATATTAGAAGAAAATACCCCTGGTTTGCGAAATAATTGTAAAGACTCCTTTTATTGCTGCAAGTTACCCAATGGGGTAATCAAAAGATGGACGCATAAAATTGGTGCAGCAATCTTGGTGGGGAAATTCTTTCTTCGACAACAAAGAATGAGAAAACTTCAATCGAAAGTGTTGGCAGGAACGATTTAATAATAATTGTTAATTTAATTTCCCATTAATTAAAATATAGTTAATTCTCTCTGGTCGGTTTAACAATTTCTTACATAACATTCTGAAAATCACATCATCTGAAGTGATTTGGCAACGTGGCACACGCCCACAATCCGTTCCATCTTTCTACACAGATATTGACAACCTTCGGCCTTCTGTCAAAGGGTTCATCTCACTCATTATTCCATGACCGCCATTTTGTGCAATCATCAAGTGGCTTCACGATGTAGTGCTTTAACGTTTTTTAAATAATTTTTAATCTGTTTTTAACTTGTTCTTGTCATATTTTATATAATTTTGACCATTGTACCATCTATCCAGCTCTCACCATGTTACTGGACGTTTCCCTCATCCTATACGTAAACAACAATTAGCAACATCCTCACATACTACTCTCCTGATGATGATGGCAAAGTCCATTGAAAGCTAGAGAGAATTAAAAAAGTATAAAGAGTCCTCTTTGCTTAAATTTTGTCGAAGTATCCAACGAAAGGCGAAATCTTTAATTTTTCACCTATATATATATATATAGTATTCATAGTTAATTGCCTTAACTGTTAGGAGAAGATATCGTTTAATTTCTTTGGGTAGAAGGCAAAAGTAAGTTAAACTCTCAAGCTTTCGAAGATCTATGTCTTCATCGTCTGGAGTCAGTGTTGGATAATGTGGAGGTTATCAGTGAAAAAAAGATGAAATCTCGAAGGAATTTTCAATAGTTATAGTTTTCAAATCTCCAAATTTCTTCCAAAATCAATCTACGTTTAATTAAAAAACCTGTCAAAATGATGATAATAAAATAATTCCGTCCTAATCGAAGCTCATCAGTCCAGTTTTCTATTCGTCGACTATGTGTTCCCGTCACTGTTGTTATATATATATATATATATATATATATATATATATATATATATATATATATATGGGCAGTAGTCATTGTCATTGACAATGACCAGTGGGGCAAAAAATACGATTAATTGTTAACTGGGAAATTGGCAAACATTTTAGACTTTAGTGAAACTCTCTTAACGGTAACTTCCAGCTTTCGGCATTCGCTATGGAGCCTTCTTCATAAGCTGAAGACACAATTATGATGCTAGCAACCAATGCAGGAAAGATTTGAATTGTAAAACAGCTTACTCGTATATATAGAATTATCAATACCTTTCAATGATGCGGTTGAATTCTCTACTCCATGGTTTATGGCAATCAGCTCCAGGCGGTACATGACCCAACAAATGCACAACTTCATCATTTTCCTCTGCTTTTAGCAACACTTCCACTAGCCACTTTAGTTGATCGTATGGATCGTTGTCGTTTAAGAGCAGCCACCTAAAGCCATGACAAGTAGCAACTATTTAAAATTCAGATCGCATGAACCGAATGCAGAAGAATACTACTACAAGTAGAATCAAATTCCAGATCTGTCGATAATAGGGTGCCCAAAGAAATGAAAGTTTTTTGTTTCAAACTCGTACCCTCTAATTTTAATATGGAAAATTTTCAATACGATCTTAGTAGCTTTCTTTAGGAGGAGTTAGTTGACATGAACCAGAAGGTATCATATTTGACTCATGGTATCAAGTCTACTTTTATTAATGCACCCTTAAAAATTGTGCGAGTCAATAAGCCGTTTGCTCCGTGGTTAACGCCAGATGTGAAACTTTTAATTAAGAGGAAAAACAAAGCACTTACGCAATCTAGACGTGTTCGATCAGAGGAATCATGGAAATTTACAAGAGATTACGGAACTCAACCTACGGAAAAATTAGATTCGAAAATGCAGCTTATTTAAGATTCCTTAGTGAACAGAATGATTCTGCCAATTTGTATAAAGCTCTCAAATTAATGCGTATACAAAAATCTAAAAATAGCGAGATTCCCACCTATCTCAAAACTGCTACAGAAATAAACAAATATTTTTGTTCTGTTTTCAACAATAACGTTCATCAGAAAAGATCTCTTTCTATGGACGTAATTATTTTTGTAGTCATAAATTCAGTTTCTGTCCAATAAATTATTCAGATTCACGTTCAATATTTTATACCTTAAAATCCAATGCATTTGGAACTGGCGGAGTGAACTTGAAATTCTAAAATTATGTTTTCCCCTAATTTCAATTACATATCATAAATAAATGCTTAGAAAAAAGTATATTTCCTAAAGCATGGAAAAGCTAGCTTGTTTTACCTTTATCCAAAGTCGGTAATCCTAGCCCGTATACTGACCTGAGACCTATTAGCATTTTACCTATACTTTCCAAATTACTGGAAAAGGCAATGTGTACACCTGTTTTGAAATGTTGAAATGCTACCATCTAGACAGTGCGGTTTTAGGAACGGTTATAATACTGCTGCAGCATCGTTAGATCTAACTGACAACATTAATCATCAAACTACTTCCTTAATTCTTTTAGATTTTTCTAAAGCGTTTGACACCATCAACCTCTTAATAGCCAAATGTAAATTTTATGGTTTCTCTGAATCATCAGTTGCTCTAATAAACAGCTTTTTAAAAAATAGATCACAAAGAGTTGTCATCGATATGAACACTTCTCCTGAGGTTTTAATTTCAGCGGGAGTGCCTCAAGGGTCGGTTCTTGGGCCACGTCTTTTTATTTTATATATCGTCAGTCTTGATAGGGCTATTAAACACTGCAATATTTAGTTTTTTGCAGATGACTCGGAGTTATACAATAATTTTAATACTGACAATATAATAATTGCTGAGGCAAAAATTCGTAATCTTAAATTAAATTCAGAAAAAATCAAAAGTAATTATATTCACTCCTAAAAAATTTAGAAATTAAATTAGGAAATATTAGACAATATCATTAAATGGTGAAATTATAAAAGTATGTGAAACTGTAAAAAATCTAGGCATATCTTTTGATGAATGTCTGAATTTTATCCCTCATATGAACAATGTTGCAAAAAGTTGTTTATTAATACTTCGGCAATTATACTCGAACAAATTCGGGATTACAAAACTAAAAAAATTCTCTGTGAGTCATTAATTATTTCAAAAATTTCATACTGCGACATTGTTTACCACCCATTTTTAAATTAAGTATCTGTCAAGCGCTTACAAAAAATTCGAAATGTATGTTGCAGGTGAACCTGTTCTTCATGCCATCGAAAGAAAAACTTTCTGGCACACTTTATGGTAAGTCTCAGGCCACGCGTAGACGATGATGAATTGCCAAAAGGCACGACACAGCTGCCCATGGTTAACTGTCTGTGGTGGATGGACAAAAGCAGTCCTTGTAATGATTCTTTTCAACATGCTAAGAATAAGGTGCAAACACTGAGAGCAGTTGAAGCAACGGCAGCAAGAGCAGTCAAGTTAATGCAAGACTTCCATGTCTTAATCACTGCTAATGAGGAACAAAAACAATTTTTATTACTTGCGTACAAGTAGCAAGATATGTCCTGAGTGAAAAAGGTAACTTTGAAAACAAGATATAGAAAATAATGTTTGTTTAATGATAGATACCTAAGAAATTTACGATACAATTAAAGCAGTATTTTGTTTCTCGAATAAGAATTAGTTTTTGAAATCCATGCATGGTTTTCCTACCAACTTCGAAGTTTGACCAAAGGTCAATCGTTCCCGATCGCAAACATACTTATTTTTTGAGCTGTTAGTGTCAACTGGAATAAAATAGAGGGTACGCATATCTCAGTTCGAACAAAAATTTGTTTTCCTTCCTAGGTTGGGACACCCTAACCAGTAAGCCTGCTATAACTCTCCCTTATTTTCCTTACCAATTTGATGAATAGCAGACATTATTGTTTAGTGAAACAATTCTGAAACCCTTTCTTGGAGATACTGTGTAAAATCCGCCTTTCATGATAGTGTCTTCACCACTAACTCGTTTAGACCATTTTTTTGCAAACAGACTGAACAGCCATTGCATTGAGAATGATGATTCCTCACCAATTTCAGAATATCTGGAAGAAAATGAATTTATTTCATCACAGTTTGCATTACCTCTATTTCAAATATTATATACTCACTGGTTGACTGGATGCGCCTCATGGTTCCCTAGTACTGGAAATATTGGGACGTGGTAATTTTGCAAAAGTAAATCATATGTCCTTGTGATGGTTTCTGTATTCCCTTCGATGCTAGTTTCCCAAACCCGGTGACTCACCAAGTCACCTGTCATGTAAACGTAATCAAAGTCCTGGAAAATTGTGAAAGCGTAATACCCCACAATTGGCAAAATTAAGGAATATTAAAGGTAAAAAGTCTCCATGTTCTGCTGACCGTCAAATGAAGAACTAACAATGATAAAAAAAATTATGTCAAGGAGGTTGCACTTCCTACACAATGCTGTCAAGAGTTCATAAAGAATTACGACTACGAGCCCCTCCCCACTTCAGTTGGCCCACTTCAAGATTTTTACCAAAACATGCCTCTATAAACTAAACATGACGAAACTATTTACTTCTAAAACAATTTATTTTCTCAAAAACGTTTTAGGTACACTCTAGTCGTAAAAAATACATATTTAAAATCACTGGGATTTCTATAGCGAAATTGAGACAAATGCTTCCTGGTCGTCTCTTGTTTTTGAGAGGTGACTTGGGATGGCCAGCGTGCTCGCCAGATTTTAAGCATGTGCGACCTTTTTCTGTGGGGTTGTTTGAGAGAGAAGGTTTTTGAATATCACCCCCACACTTTAGATGAGCTAAAGACCCGAATTGTTGCGTGAACATCTAACATACCGTCAGAATTGTTTAGAAAAGTAACTCAAAGCTTCTGAAATCAGCGTATTGCCAACATCTTGCTGTTGTAATCAAAACTAAACAAAAGATAATGGGAATACATACAAATTATAATAAAAAAAGTGTTAAGCCTGTGAGTTATTCTGTTTTCCTTTGATACCACCTCTAAGCCGGGTCATCACTTTTGCCCCACCCTGTACAAAATCTTCGAACACGTGACAACTATCCTATGCGACCATGTCACCAGTTTCAAAATGTCCACTCTAAATTCTTGAACACATCATAGGAAGTTGGAATTCCATAATAAACAACATTGACCACACTAACAGCTAACATTTTAAAGAAATAATATTAAAAAATCAAATATCAGAACCCTGATCGACTCTAATAATGACAAACAAATGACCTCAATTGATTTTATGCTATTTCTTCAAAAAAGTTCCTCTAATTCGTTAATAATTATGATATTCCTTGAGGGATCCTCATTTCGATTGATGTACTAGATACCGAATTCCACTTAATAACGTATCAAGTGTTCATAACTTTTCCCCTATTTTATTATCTATAGTATCTTCCACGATCTGACCTCGGTCGCGATGCTATTGACCGTGGGTAAGTGTGTTCAGTAGCAATGAAAGGTGAATACTGTGACCGTACTGGGTGTCCCATCTTCGCAATACTTTGTTACTTTTTTATCAAAAAACAGATGGTATAAATGAATATTTCATAGCCCCCTTCGCTTCTGTGATGCAGGGCGAAATTGAAAATATTGCTTTTTACTTATATCCCCGTTATTACTTAACATGATCGCAGAAACAGAAAATGGCCTTTTCGCAGTTTTTACGTCGAATAGAGTGACGTAGTCAAATTTTTGCAGTGAGCTGTCAATTTTTAGCTATAAATCAAACTTATTTTTTTTTAATGAGACCTGTATATTTTTTTCTCACTTGACTGAACATTTTATAAGCTTGACAGAAATATACAGGGTTTCCCTTAATGATATGCGAATACTTAAGGGTACGAATCAATAATAAAAATTAATGTTAGTCTGCGTTAAAAACTGTGGTCCAAAAATGTTTCCTTACAAGAATCCGGGGTGTTGAAGTTTTAGGAAAAAAAATGGAAATTAATATTTTCAGAACCGCTTCAGATATTTCACTGATATTTAGTACATACGAAGTGGAAGTTAATAAAGCGCATATTTCTCAATGCAAAAATAATTGTTAGCTTTAACAGTGGCGTGCGTACGGATATTGGCTTCGATATTTTTTGAGAAAAAGATGATACGCCAACATTATTTTTGAATTACCCGTTCAATTTACAACAAATGATCTTTATTGAATTGTTTGCTTTCGATCTGCCATTTTTGAGTAAAAAAATAAAAATCGGTCTATTGTTTAACTTGCAAAATTATTATTAATTTAATTGGAAAAATTAAACACACTAGTCGTAATGAACAACAACTGACAACATAAACATAACATTGAAACCAACGAAATAATAACAAAAATTGTCAAAAATGGCCCCCTTCACTTAGTGTGCATGCTTCCGCCTTCCTTCTCATGGAATTGCGCACTCGTTGAAATATCCTTGTAGTGTTTTTTATTCTTATCACAAGCTGCAACTATTATTTCTGTTAATTCTTCTCCAGTGTTAATAGGACTTGTGTACACTAGTGTCTTCAGATAGCCCCACAAAAAGAAATCTAAACTGTTTGTGACTCACAGGGATTACAAACATATGCATATTGCCCAGTTCAAGGAGGATTTAACTAAGACAGGCTTACGCAGAGTATTCTATGTCAGTGATGTTAACCAAAAAGTTAATATACTTACAAAGACATTACTCCAACTGTTCGATTACCATGCTCCAATTCGGACAGCGCGCGTCACAAAGTGATATGCAGATACAGAAGATCTAGACTATTTTAAGAAAATTCTGTGGACCGATGAATCGTAGTTTGATAAGGACGGGATCACTAACTACCATAATGCTCATTACTGGACTGATAAAGAAGCTTTAAACCCCCGAAAAATAAGACCGACGGGGTCTCAGCGCCGGTTTTCAGTCAATGTGTGGATGGGCATCATTGATGGATATTTAATTGGACCTCATTTTCTGCCCGGCAATTTAAATGGAGAAGTGTATGGAGAGTTCTAGAAAAAACACTTGTTTCCATTAATCGAAGACGTCCCATTGGCGACGAGACAAAATATGCGGTTCCAGCACGACGGCTGTCCCGCGCACTACAGTAGATTAGTACGGGTGTATTTAGACTCTAAATTTCCAAATCAATGGATTGGCAGAGGCGGGCCCATTGCCTGGCCAGCAAGAAGCCCAGATCTCACACCGATCGATTACTATGTTTGGAGACATATGAAAAGCCAGGTGTACGATGTTTCGCCCTTACCAATGCGCGATGAATTAATTACAAGGATAATCAGTGCAGCTGACTAAATAAAAAGCCGCTTGACAACTAGAGTTACCAAAAGTGAATTACGTAAGAGAATGCGGGCATGTATTCGTAACAGGGGATTACAATTTGGGCAGAATCTATAAAATACTAAAGGAAATGTAATTAAATAAAATTGTAATTAAAATAAAAGCCTTTTATTTATCCTACGTAATTATCGTTCGTATAACTTTACTCATCTTTTTTTAATTTTATGTATTTGTACTTGAGTTAGTTGTAACTTTTATACCTCAAATGAAAGCTTGTTAGATAGAAATATTATTTACATAATTTGCACATTTCATTGCTAGGAGATTTTTTACAGAAAATTGCATTTTTATCGAATAAGTTAGTAAAAAAAAAAGAAAATGATACATTTAAAAGCGTAATTTTAAAACGTTTGTAGCTTTTTAAAATTTTATTACTTATTATGAACTATTGGACTATTTGCTATGTGGCCTAATCTATCACCCCTTAACAGGAATACGTGACATTACAAGTCACCCTGTATACATCTAATTTGTTCCAAATAACAGCTGCGGAACCGTAAATATCGTAATGCATCACCAGGATGCAAATGGTGTAGATTTTAATCTGTGTAATGTTCTCCTGAATATCTATAAATTGAAATGATATTGAAAAAGTAAACCCAGATACGTCAAAATGTGAATAACTAATTAAACGATCTTATTGAAATATAGTTGCGAAGGAGTTTTTGGTTGCTCTGTACGAACATGGCGTATTTTTCAAATTGTTGGCAATTTTCATTTTCAGTCATCGTAAAAAATATAATACTATACAGAAAATATTTATTTTTCTGTGACGGAAAAAAATAGTTTGACATTTTATCTTTGTTGACGGGTAACAAAATGTCACTTATTATGAAATTTACTTTTTTCCATAGGAGAAAAAATGACTACTTTTTTCCCGGATATTGAATACACGTTTTCGTAAATTTTCCGCGATTTGGCTGGTAATAATTTTTGTGACGCTACTTTGGCTAGAACTACTAATTTCGGTGGAGACAAAGAAAACTCGGAATCAGACATTTTTTCCTTCATGGTATTAAAAATAACTTCTAGACAACCACTAAGTTCACAATTTTTAAATCAAATCACAAAATTGGATTGACAGCTATTTGATTAAAAGTTCCCCTAGCAACGCAGGTCTGATTATCAATAATCAACAAGTTTCTGACTTAAATATTGTAATTATATAAGTTTTCAATATTTAATCGTCGTTTTTCCCGGCACAAAAAAAAGTGTTAGTTATACAAGGAAAAAATGCTAGATTTTAGGTTCTACAAAAAATCTACCACTTTTTCCATTGTATAATAAATAACTATTTAGCAAATAATCATTCCATTGCTCTACTAACCACGGCCTACTATGACTAATACAATACTTACCAAGAGTGTCGTATAAGGACACGTTTTAAGAATTCATGATTTTTAGATTTATTACTTGAAAAACATTATGTCATTACATTTTTGTAAAGCAGATAAAATTTTCAATCGAAGAAAATGTAACTTTGATTTATAGCTAAAAATTGTCAGCTCATACAAAAAAACTGACGACGCCAGTGGTTATACGTGAAAAATTGTATGAGAGCCAGTTTTTAGCTTTGCGTTATGTTAAAGAATAACGGAGATATGGGCGTCCCAAAATGCAATATTTTCAATTTAGACCTGTATCTTGGAAACGAAGCGAGATTTAAAAATTTGGTTATACTATCTTCCTTTTCACCAAAGAGTAGCACAGTATTGTGAAAACCGCAACTCTCTATCTTTACTAGTAAGTGAGATTTGCTGTAATGTCGTCGAAAATGGGTCACCCTGTACTTTGCCATATATGGGGTTGTCCAAAACGGACGCAGGAAAGTAAACGCATATTAAAACAAGAAAGATTGATATTCAAATCAAGTTGGGTACTTTATTTTGAAGGTTCATTTATACCATTCATGTATGAAAAATAATATCGCTCAAATGTTCACCACGACTGGATTTACAGACGTCCACGCGATGGTCGAAATTTTCAATGACATTTTGCAGCATGGTCGGTTCTATGGCATTTATCTCGGCAATGATGTTGTTTTTGAGTTCTTGGAGGGTGGCTGGTTTGTTGACGTAGACTTTGCTTTTCAAATATCCCCATAAAAAGAAGTCCAAGGGAGTCAAATCGCACGATCTTGGTGGCCATGGCACATTTCCTCTGCGCGAAATCACGCGATCACCGAAGAAGGACTGCAATCGATGGATATTGACGTTGGTTGTGTGGCATGTTGCACCGTCTTGTCGGAAATAAACATCGTCCATATCCATTCCTTGCGTCAACAAAAAGTCCTCTATCATCACGTGATATCGCTCAGAATTGACGGTAACGGCGACCCCGGCCGCATTTTCGAAAAAGTAAGGTCCGATGATGCCTTTTGACCACAATGCACCACACAGTCACTTTTTGAGGATGCATCGGCTGCTCTTGATACTCACGGAGATTTTCGTTCGCCCAGATGCGGCAGTTTTGCTTGTTTACCGTCCCATTCAAAGTGAAATGCGCTTCGTCGCTGAACATGATTTTTAATGAAAAATTGGCATCAATTTGGCGGTGTTCAAGGAGCCCATCTGAGAACGTTCGGCGCGAAAAATGGTCGGCCTGACGCAGCTCTTGCGTCAATTGGATCTTGTAGGCGTGTACATTCAAATCCTTGTGGAGGATGCGGAGCAAACTGGTTCTCGAAATGCCCAATTCTTGGGATCGACGCGTTGTTGATTGTTTCGGATCGTCTCTCACACTCTCCTTCACAACAGCAATATTTTCCGGTGTGCGAACGCTCCTTGGCCGGCCAGAGCCTGGCAGATTTGCCACAGAACCTGATGCCTCAAATTTACGCACCAGACGACCGATGGTTGTTTCGTTTGGGCGGTTGTTGCGACCGAAATGTTCACGAAGCGCGCGAAACGTGTTTTTTATTTTGCACCATTTTTGTAGTGCTCTTGAATAACTTTAATGCGGTCTTCAATCGAATACGACTCCATAGCGATCAATGGTAAACATTCAACTAACAAAATGACATGTCGGTGGCAGAAAACAAAGATGGCGTCTATGTCAAATTGACGTTTACTTTCCTGCGTCCCTATTGGATAACCCTATATATAGAGAATACACCTTAAAATGTTAGTTTTAATGTGGATGTACCTTGTGCTTGAACAATAATAAAGTGACACTTACATGGACACCGCTTTGTGCTATTACTTCTTCTAATAGATGTACTGGTGTATCGACATGGAGGTACTCAGACCAATAACCACATGGTCTATCTCCTACGTCAGCAGTCTTCTGATCATCCTAAAATTTAGTTCTCTTTGAGATTGCACTCTAAATACAATTTTCAAGCTAGTATCAGTTCAGTTTTTGTACTTACTTGACAACAAAGAGGCTCTCCACAGTCAACTTTTTTGCCTTCAGTATACCTTGGATCCAAATGAATGTCTGTGATGTGAAGTATGTTGAAAGTATCTGTACTTACAGCCTAAAAAGTATATTTTACCGGTTTCAACTCAAAATTCAGGGATAGAGGCAACCATTCACGCTTCAAGTCGAACTGTTTTTAATCGGAAAATATTTAACCCACAGCTGGTCTTGTTTGCAGGAGGTGAACTATACCATGCACTTTTGTACGTGAATGGTGATTGGAGTCTCTTATCATCTCACAGTTATTTTCACATTATGTAACTCACAATAGAGATAGTATTCGCACTACCAGCCATCGCCTTGACAAAACCAGGAACGGGACAAACTTTTTTCGTACTAAATTTTTTAACGGGATTGCAAAACCCTTCAAATCGCTGAGAATTGATGCTTTTCACAAAAAACCCAAAAACTATATTACAAAAAAAGCATTCTTCTATATTGATGAGTATTTGAGATATAACTTCGAGTATAGTGATATGCTTTTGTAAATGTTCGAATTATTTTTTATTTTAGACGGCACAAGTGTGTATAAATGCGTAATCAGTGCCGTTTGGATTTGGAACAAAAAAGACGCATACTTTAAGAAAGACCATTCGTCGACGCATGACCCAGGGTCAAGGCGTTTGAAAATGGTGCCTGAATCAAATCCCAAAGTACTACTTACACAATACAGAATGAGATATGGGATTAGAATCAGTTGAAATACGAGTTTGAAGTTCAGGGGTGTATGTTATCCTGAATTATTTATAGTTACTTAGGTACTTTAAAACTGCTTTACCTTCTTTTTTGTGTGTCCCCTTGGTGGTATGGAAATTTTCCAATCGCTTTTGTCTGGATAACAGTCAAACTTTTGTAGTAACAGACCGCAAACTCTGTGGCCATTAAATTTTTTGTCGTTTTTGGCTATATACTCAAATATGTCCTGAAAGATAACAGTAAGGTTCATCTCAGAGTCACAATATTCTTAGCCTAGAGGCAGTATTCGGATAAGTTAATTGGACATAATAATGAGTAACTATTGCTTGCCAATTGCGACAACACGAGAGACATCATTGCATTGATATCAGTTTAATTGCCAGAAAAGCGTACATAATCACAATAGTATATACAGGGTGGCGCATCAAAAACGAAACAGACCAACCCTAAAATCGAGTGATACCTTATTTTAAAGGTCTTTCAATTCCCTTTATAATGATGTAAGATACATGAGCCTCAGTTTCCATGAAATCTTCTGTAACTCTGCATAATACAGTGTATACCTATCTTCAATCGCGGAGAAGCTAACTGAGTTTATCATAAAATTCTAGAAATTGTGATAATAAGGGATTATACCGAAAAAATAATAATAAGACTTTACTTTAAAATTAAAAAGAAGTCTCCGGGTATTAGCAAAACAAGAAACAACTTACAGTTTACTCGGACATTGAGGTTAAAGTAAAAACTAATTTGCTATGAAGAGGTAGGTCAATGTGGTAATAAGTGCTGACACCACGTTCGTATCTAATCCTCACATTTTCAAGCATGTCTTGTCTAGATTCAGCCGAAACCCGCTGACAATAGTTTTCAATGGAATCTGGCTTCATACTAAAAACTTTACTTTTCAAATGCCCCCAAAGAAAAGAATCTAAAAGACTTATGTCCGGAGATATCGGCGGCCACTTGAAGGGGCCTCGTTTGCGGATCCACTGATTCGGGAAACGGGTATCCAAATACTGTCGTACTCGATCCACATAGTGCACACAGACGAAATAAGCATTGAAGAAGTAACAGAAGCTATCAAAAACAGCAAAAAATTAAAATCAGCTGGCCACGACATGATAACAGCAAAAATGCTGGAGGGATTAGGCAATTTCTGAATCCAATGCTTGATAAAGATATTCAATCGAGTATGGAGTGAGGGTAGGGCGCCTAAAGATTGGAGAACGGGAATTGTGTTACCGATATACATATATACCAAGGCCTATGAAAGAATCCCAGAGAAAAGACTAAGAAGTACAGTGGAACCAGACTTGGAGGAAGCACGGTGCGGATTCAGAAAAGGTAGAAGCACACAGCATCAAGTATTCACGATTAACCAAATGATCGAAAAGACTAGAACGAAGAACACCGAAGCACACATGGCCTTTCTAGATCTGGAAGAGGCATTTGACAGGATACCACTGAAGGTAGTGTACGACAATTTCTAAACAAGAAATATATGCCCTAAACTAATAAGAGGAATCGAAACACTTTATGCGAATAACACGAATTATGTAAGAAAGGAAAACAAGGTATCAAAACCTTTTAAAATGAAAGACGGCTTACGACAGGGAGGCGTTTTAAGTTCTACACTTTCCATAATTATCGTAGACGACATCATAAAAACAATAAAATACAAACTCAAAAAAGTGAACATTGATCAAACTGGAAATGGATACCTGTCAGAATGTGCAATTACCGATGATCTCATGATCTGAGCCGAACGGTAAAAGACTAATCTAGAACTTTGAAACGCCGAATTAGAAATAAGAAATCTGAAAATTAATGAAGCCAAATCTAAAATAATGGTAATCGGAAAAATGTCAAAGAAATAAAAATCAAAATTAATAACAATGAACTGGAACAGGTGAATGTCTATAAATATCTTGGAGTTATGATACAGCGTGAAGGCAGTATCGAGGCTGAACAAAATGAAAGAAGAAATAAAGCAGTAAAAACATACCATACAATGAGCAAAGCCTCCAAGATGATTGTTTACAACACCGTATTTAGGCAAACATTAATTTATAGTAGTGAAGGGTGGGTGCTAACAAACAGATTAAACAGCAAGAGTCAGGCAGTAGATATGAAATTTTTATGAAAAGCCAAAGGAATAACAAGACGAGTCAAAATCAGAAATGATATAGTACAGAACTGGGAGCAGAACTGTTTTTGCATAGAGTTGAAGTACAACAATTAAGATTGTTTGTTATCCACTTATTGTTTGTCCTTTTTTAAATTTTTATATTGTATTTCTGTTAATTTATTAATTTTAACTGCTGGAAAGCTAATCTATTTTATCTGCTGTTGTTAGCCTATAGTCTCCATTTTAAAATATTTGATTTAAGGTATTGTTTGTTGTTGCTTGTCATTTTACTGTTTTTTTATGTATGTAAATACTGTAAATTGTTTGTTGATGAACCCTATACATGTTTTATACATGTCTAATGGGTAATAAATAATGTTATTATTATTATTGTTATCATTACCAAAAACTTCATGGAAAATCTAAAAATAAAAATGGGGGTTCCCATTTAAAAATCTAAATTGTAACACAATATATTAATTTTAGATCACCCTGTATTGTACGGCTATAGATGAAAAGACGTCCTCCTCGAAATCAAAATTGACGTGTACGGGCGTTTTCTGCAAAATATGCCAGGAGAGTCACAAATGGTGATGCGACCTGCCCGTTGGGCCGCCCTGTGTGATTATAAAATACAGAACCTAGAGGTCACGATACAAATTTGTTCCGCTACTGAGGATCTGAAAAATCTCAAAAATCAAGTAGGAACCATCGCAAAGACAAAAGAGAGAATTCTATGTCATTTGACATTTATTTAAATGTCCTGCTGGTGAAAAACTATGACCAAGTATTTTATATAAATAATGCTTCTAAGCAGCCATGCTTACCAGATTTTCCTGCACGAGTCCTGAACAAACAGCCTGATCTTCAATCTTCGTAGCTGTGCAAATGAATATGACTTCGTTTGCTAATGTCTGTTTATCGATTCCAGCCCAGAACTGAACTAGCAGAAGATTGACCAAAACATCACAGGTCAGACATGTGAAATCCTTGTTAAATAGGCTCACGTCGGTGTCACGTCTAAATAAATGAGGGAACTCTATACCTTGTAAGGCTGCAGTCAGGTTTAGCGGTTGGGTGCCATTGTTCAGGTATTGCTCAATGGAAGATTTAAGAGAAAGCAGAGAACCTGGATCTGTAACATTACAGTGTAGATAGCAATGCTCATGAAACCAAAGAAATGGAAGTACAATAGTACAATTTAATACCTACAGCGCGTCAAGTGTAGGAAGAGATGCGAACTTTTGAATAATGTTACGCCTTCTCGGTGCGCAGTAAATAGCGGATCAATTCACCGGACGAGGCATTAGTCTCTGGTCGTGTCTAGACTACTTATCGTACAGTCAGGAGACAAAATGGCCATGCAGTGAAACAACCTTATTATTTATTATCTGTGAATTGTATGTATTGTTGCGAATTCGTGGGTTGAATAAATACAATTTTACGCTATTAATCGTCGCCATTTATTCCTTGCTGTGATAAGAGATTCACTTTATAATGGATTTTACATCCAAATTACAACGTAAAGTTTTATCAGGACAATCTAAGGAGATTGCAGCAAATGTTATATTCTTTATGCAACGAGAAGCGGAAGGAAATACATCTCATCAGGATTTGAAGAAAGTTCAGGAGCGTGCAGCCATTGGCCACGGGAGTTAGTCTATCGAATAGTAGGAGGATTTCTCGCGAAATGAAATCTGTTGAAGAACGTGCTTCGATATATTTTTCGACACCAAACGGATTGCTCCGTCGATTTATAATAAATTTTTACATAACGGAAAAAAGGTTCCAACTTTGCGGCGCATACACAGGAAATTTGTTCAAGAACACGATGACACTGGATCACATGAAACTTTAAGGAAAGTGATGAGAACAATGGGATTTCGATGGAGGAAGGCAAGAACTAATAGAATACTTCTGTTGGAGAAACCACAGATTCAGCATCTTAGGAGAAACTTGTTGAGAAGGATGAAAAAATATAGAGAAAAAAATCGTCCTATTATTTATGTGGACGAAACATAGATCCATACATCACATACGCATGAAAAGAGTTGTAGCGATAATACCAATGAGGCCAGATCAGTTTCAAAAGGACAAAGATTTATTATTGTGCATGCTGGTAGTGAAAATGGCTTCGTGGAAAATGCATACCTGAAATTTTAATCCAATGGTAAGTTGGGTGATTATAATAGTGAGATCATTGTTTTGGTTTCGTTATTTCTGTGTTTATCTCGTTTATATAAATGATCACATAAATCCGATTTTTAACATTTCTTCGGTAGCGAACAGGAGTGGAAACATAAAACTATTTCTGTAAAACTAATGTGATATTTTGAAAATATTGAAAAAGCAGTATCTAAAACTTGTTTTTTTAGATATAAATTTTTAAATGCTTCTGGTGGACATACAATTGTATTTTAAGATACCTTAATGATTATATTCGTTAATTGTATATTATATACTTTCAAACTTAATTTTATAATGTACATAAGCTCCACCCCATTGAACAAATTTTCTCTACGAGCTATTGAGTCACAGGAAATACTACAAGCAATAGATAGCTTAAGATCGGGTGCACGTGAAATTGATGATCTAGCGCTGACAATGATAACGTCAATGAAGTTACCAAATCTAGAATATCTGGCTCACAAAGATATTTAAAAATTTAATACATGCCAACAATTTCGGTCAAAAAGGTACACTTTACATAATACGTATTCCATTATCGAAATTATTCGATTAATTTTTGACGCAGGCTGTACCACGCGAGATCGAATGACACGTATTGTACGTGCCGTGCCGTCTCTGTTGCTCCGAATGCGTTCTCACTCTCTCGTGTGCGCAATCCCAGTAAATCATCATATCTCTTCCTACAATTGACGAGCTGTATCTACCATACGAGCATTTACACATTTACTTCACAACCTCGACAACAGATCCGGCATGCTCTTGGTCATGCTCGATTTTTCCGAGGTTTAATCCTACAGATGAATTGGTCCAACTTTCTGACACTCAAGTTCACCCTCTGTCCGTAACTTTTAAAAGCGCAAATCGATTTCCCTCAAACATAGCCAAGAAAGAGCCATCTCGACCGACAAGTCTTTTGGTTTAAAACGCAGCACTGAGTTCGGTTCACCCGTTTCGAGGCTTTTATTTTATTCATTACAACAGCCTACAGTAAATACCAATTACAGGGTGAGGAAACACAGAACATAACATAGATATAAAAGACAATAATAAGTAATAGACTACAAAGTGTAAAAGATACATCCTGGTTACTTAATGGTATTTTTTATGTCTGCAATTCTGCAGTTAAATATATCAATCCGGTTACTTGCAGAATTGTAATTCCTACACATCACATGCAAAGGGGAATAATGTGAATATACTAAGTGACATATAAATCCGAACATCCAGTTTAAATGGTCTTATTTTAATAGAAGTTGGTGAATGTATTTATCTTACTGTAAATAACAAGTGAAAACATTTTCAGCCTTATCAGTTGGACATTCCGGTTTTTATACTGCTTTTTTTTTAATTCACTAACGCTCCAAAAATGAATATTTCACCGCAGTAAAGAATCAACGTTGGCGGATTTTGGTTCTTGACATCCTTTACGATCGGTTACGATGCCTAGAGTACGGCGACCTGTACGATTTCGTCAACTTAATAGGGGCCGTATAGTGGGACTTCGGGAAGCTGGACTTTCTTTTCGGGCAATTGCAGTTAGAGTGCAAAGAAGTGTAGACACTGGTTAGGTATTGTCAGGCATGGCTTCGAGAAGGCCGTACGCAAAGAGCAAGGGGCACTGGACGCCGCCGTAGAACAACAGACCGTGAAGATCGCCGCCTAAGATTATTGGCCTTAAAGGACCGTTTCTCCACTACCAGGTCCATTGCAAATGAATGGTTTGCAGAACACGGAAGACCTATTGGCATGCGAAGTGTTTACCGACGAATGAGAAGTTTTGGCTTGTTTTCATACCGGCCACACTGGGTCCTCCCTTTAACTCGAGAACACCGACGTAATCGCCTTGAGTGGTGCAGACAACGGTCACTCTGGGATCAGGAATGGAACAGTATTGTCTTTAGTGACGAGTCTCGATTTTGTTTAGGCATGCTCGATGGTCGTGCCAGGGTTAGAAGGCGACGTGGTGAAAGGAGGAATCCACAGTTTTTTGTTGAAAGACATGTTCATCACACTGTTGGAGTTATGGTTTGGGGTGCTATAGCTTATGGTTCCAGGTCACCTTTAATCTTCATCAGAGTTAACATGAACGCGCAGCGTTATAGCTACGAACTTCTAGAACCCCATCTTTCACCCTATCTTGACCCCCTGGCAGATCCAACTTTCCAACAAGATAATGCCCGACCACATGTTGCAAGAGTCAAGACTTCTTTCAACATAATGATGTCACATTGTTACCATGGCCACCAAGATCTCCCGACTTATCCCCAATTGAGCACGTGTGGGATATGATGGGTAGGAGATTGCTCAATTTGCGACGTCCTCCTCAGACTCTAGAAGCACTTCGAGAGGAGTTGGTGGTTGCCTGGAATGAGAAACCACAGGAGGACATTGACCACCTGATCAGAAGCATGCCTAGCCGCGTTGGAGAATGCGTAGCACATCAGGGTGCATCCACACATTATTAAAGTTCAAAGGGCTTCAAAGCAGTGCAGTCATTTTGAAATTTTTATCATTTACTTGTTATGCTTCATTAAGTACTTATACAAAATTTTATTAAAATAAAACCATTTAAACTGGGTGTTCGGATTTATATGTCACTTAGTATACTTTGTCCGTGCCGCAGGTAGATAAAACGTAACGTTTCGTCGGGATGTCAGCCTAGGTACGTTAAATGATAACTGACCCAAAAAAGCTAAATCATCACTAGCATTATTGATCAATTTAAGCAGAAAAATCACTGACTGGCAAGTACGCCTTGCTTCAACACTGCTGATTAGATGTTTTTCAAGTAAGGAATCATGAGGTATACCTACGGGCGGATAAACGCCATCCAATTTCAGTGACAAATATTTTAAGAAACGTCTTTGAACACATTCAAGCCTACTTATATGAATAATATGATGCGGAATCCAAATTAGCAATGCATACTCAAGCTTCGACCTGACATATGCATAATACACCAACTTCAAGGTGGTACTCTGAGTGAAGTCCCAGCAATTTCTTACAATAAAGCCGTACATGCGGATGGCCTCGGAAATTTTGCTGTCAATGTGTTTGACGAATGTTAGTTGGGAGTCAAATGTCACGCCTAAGTCACATAAAGTTGAAGTCCTCTGAATAGAGGTACCTGACAGGGTACAGTCAAATAACAGAGGATTTTTCTTCAAAGACATTACGTAACATTTTTTGCTTGGGGTCAAGAACTGAACCTCACGGAGTGACAAAAATGTGTAGGCGACATGCAGATAATTTTTTTATCTGTCAATTCACAGATTTACACATATCCATCTCCATCCTCTTAATTTGCCGGCTATCAATAAGGGCACCTCACAAACATCTTCAAAGATGAAATTAACCATCACGATGTTCTTTGACACGGCTTCTGGACCGAAATACTCAGAAATTTTGACCGTAGATACTCTAGGTACCTAGTATCACCAGACTGCTATTAGCACACAGCTACAATCAAAATGGTGGATCTCTGGTGTGTTCCGGATAGATCCTTATTCACGGTGATGTGAAATTGTCGCTATAATTAGGGCTTGTAATCATATTTACACCGTAAATCCACGATTTTAAAGCCGCGTACAGACCGAAAATCCAACGCCTAGCAAACGAATGTAAGCACATGGCACATGTCGCGATATAACACTTAGCAAAACTCGAATAGAAGGTATGGAAAAATCTAAAGAAAATTGGACCCGAAAATCGAAGCTTTTCAACGGAAACGAATGAAGAGATGAAATTATCTACATTAGACATTCTCAAACTTCGAAGTATATTCAAAAATGTTTCTATTCGTATCCAAAAAAGGACAATGCTATTCGGTATGATCCAATACTGGATGAAACGATCATCATGAAGCCGAAAATGGCACGTTTTAGACGATCCGCTAGCACACACTTGCTTTTGTAATATTTTCATACCTAGAATACCCCGCCTAACAGAGGTCGCGAAAGGAAAGAGATGGGAATGTGCTGTTAAACTGAAGGTATAATAATAAATTTTAGGATGTCTTACATTTGTTTCTATATAACTGAAAGAACTTACGAATACGGTTAAGCAAGTGTGAAAGAGCATTTCAAAAGCATAAAAATGCGCTATAACACTTTGAAAAATTTGAATCGAAGGTATGAAAAAATCGAGAGCAAAGAGGGTCACGTTCCGAAAAGTAGCATTTTGCCAAGAAGTCTTAAAAAAATCGAAACTTATCCACGAAAACGAATGAAGAGATGAAGATATCTACATATTAGAGTCCGAAGTTTTGGCTTTCTTATGCAAAAATTGCTAGGTCTGTATCTCCGGTATCTTCGGAGGAAATAGATGTTAAATATCGAAAAGTACGTTTGGGACCCAAGCAAATATTTTATTCGAAACGGGTGCCCTAAACGAAAAAACTTTCTCTGTTATTCGTCAAGATGTACATAATGCGCTATACGAGATTTCTTTTTTTTGTTGTAGTGGAGCTATCGGCCTTTTAACGAAAGTTTTTTATTTGTTAGGTTTTTTTTTTGAAATTTCTAGAAAATAACTAGGATGCGGGTCAAAAGCGGACCTGGAAAATACTGAGTCATTTAGTTATCTAAGGCAACTGATCTCGTTTCGATATTTTGAATAAATGACGGTACGCCAAAGGAAATCGGTTGCGCACTACGCGAAAAACTACCATTTTTTCGACTTTAACCGCCGTTAGTTTCTGAAACGGTATCGTTTTCTAAAAACCTATCGGCAACCGGGAAAAAACCGCACCCAGGTCGAAACGCCTCAATCCGAAAGGAAAGCTAAAAAAAAAAAAACAAAAGATCTCTTGCTTAAGGGATATAACTGATATTTTCATACGGTATCACCAAACGCAATTACAATACAATATGGCTTAATTCAAAGGCCACATCAAAAAAGATTCAGTTTGGAGGGCCGCATTATAAAATCTTTCTATACAACATTATTACTGAGTTTTAATAGGTATATACTATACTATAAATATGGTATACAAAAATAATTTTTCTATTATTTTTATTTATTCAAAAAATATGAAATTACAAAAAAATCAGTCGGACATTTGAGGATGTTGGTTTTCTAATACTAATGCATCAATATTAACATTAATATTTGTTCTTGATAAACGAAGTAACTGAGTAAGTGACTTATCAGAGAGGGAACATCTATACTTTGACTTGATAAATTTCATGTTGGAAAAGCTGGTTTCGCAAAGATACGTGCTTCCCATCATTGATCTCATTGTAAGTCCTAAGTTTCGCAAGTTGGGGTATCGTTCTCCTGGCAGTAACTTAAAAAAGTCCAAGCCAGTTCCAGTTCTTCCTTGGTAAAAAGGATCTGATTGCAAATCACACAATTCCAGTTGAAGGTCTGCTCTGCTTACGTTCTCAACAGAAATTGTTAGTGGCTGAGTAAAAACTGAAATGTCGCTGTCGATTTTTTTAAAGTCACTAAATCGGTTTTTGAATTCTTCTGCAATTGTGTCAATGTATTTTATATGAGGTAAATATGAAACTTCCTCAAAATCCTTCATTTCTTCGAAATGTTCTTTACAACTTGGAAAAAATGAAAAATCAGTTTTTTGTAATGAAGACTTGAAAAGTTTAATTTTATTCTTTATGTGTCCAAATAAGTTGGCAATATTCTGCTGTTTTCCTTGTAGCTTCAAATTCAATTCGTTAAGGTGAGATGTCATGTCTGTTAAAAATGCAAGGTCTGCCAAAAATTGTAACATCTGCCATTTGATTTTCCAGTTCCGTAGTGTCGGACTTCACTTCATTTTTAAGGAAAATAGGAATTTCCTTGCGTAAAGCGAAAAATCGTTGCAAACACTTTCCGACGATTAACCAACGACCATCGGTGTGAACTAACAAGTCCCCATATGTAGCATCCACTTCGGCCAAAAAATCACGAAACTTTCTGTGAGTCAAAGCACGATTGCCCCCTCTAACAATATTAGTTATTTTAACAGCCACTTTCATGACATTTATTTGACGTACAGATTTTCCACATAAGCTCTCTTGGTGAACGATACAATGTATCATAGGACAGTTGATGCTGCTTTGTTTAAATAGTCCTGCAAATCCAATTTCAGTGTCTGTCATAGCTCTGGCGCCATCAGTGACAATACAAGAACATTTATCAAATCCCCCGTAGTCTGACACCAACTTATTCAGATCTTCAAAAATATCTGTACCTTTGGTTGTACCATGGAAAGGAGTAAGGTGAAGCATCTCCTCTGCTATACTTAAGTCGTCTTGAATAGTTTGGATAAAAATTACACGCTGGCTAACGTCAGACAGATCAGTGCTTTCATCCAGGCATAGCGAAAAATATTTACATTTTTCAACCACGTCACGCAATTTTTTGGATACAACATGTTCATTGATATGGTTGCAATTGTTTGATGCGATACTGAGACTGTTTCAAGTTTTTCGGCAACTTTTAAATCATTGAATTGTTTCGCCATTTCCATTGCACACTTTTTGATAAGCACTCCATCACTAACAGGTATTTTTGCTTTGGCAATTCCCAGCGCTATTTTGTAAGAGGCGGAAATACTGCACTAGTTATCAGAGTCAGATTTTTTTAAAAAACTTGTTTGTTGTTTTAGTTTTTCCTTGTATTCCGTTATGATATCCTGCCTCGAGTCCCCCGAATATTGCCGAAACTTTTTCTCGTGTAATTATATTCTTTAGGAACCGATAGTACTTGCATACAAACTATGCACTGAAGTTTATTATTATTGTTTGAGATAAAATATTCTGATTCCCAACGGTCATTATAAACTCGATGTTCGTTCGTTATTTTTCGTTTCTGTGAAGTCATATTTCACGGAGTATTTCACTTAAAAAGGCTTTAGAGTTGCTGTGTACTGAAACGCACTAGCACTAGAACAAAACTGTCTGTCCCGCTAGATTCAACCATCTTATATACGCGCCCGTAGTTTCTCGAATATTCGGGGATGATCGAGAGATCGGTCCAATTTCCAGTAAATTCGCTGCGGCCTGATATCGGTCGCCAGTGGCGTCACATGTTATTGTATTTTATCGTTAATGTAAGAATTGTGCATATTCGGTATTTGAGAGTAATTTATACATGTGATGTATACATGACGCGTGAAGCGGGCCGCATGCGGCCCGCGGGCCGTATGTTGTACAGCCCTGGTGTAAAGCATGCATCTAATATACTGAAGATACTACATACATCAATTTATGCTTATTAAGGGAATAGTTTGCACTTACCTTGACCACTACTATTTACAAAGCAACAGCTGCACAGTAATAAGCATACTAAAACACTGATTTTTATCATTCTCGGTCAGGATGGTGCTTTTAGCGGATAATATTTCTCTGATGGTGCTCCTGCTATAAGTATTATTTATATAATTTTTTCAATCGATATCTAATGAAGATATACTTGAGATAAAACACATATTAGTCTGGTCAGAAAAACAAAATTTAAAAGCTAAAAGACTACCAGAATTGTTGGCAGCCATAAAGAATGAGCGTCGATCTTGTGGTTTTCCAAGGGTGACTATCAAAGCGAGATTGTGATTGAATTTGTCGTACAAAGTGCCACAGTAAGACACAGAAGATGATTCGTAACACCATTTCCGACTCATCTGTGTTTCAATAATATGATAATAATAATAATAACAATAATAATAAGAATATATCCCTTTGATGCTTGAAAGGTCCGGGTTAAGCCAGAACACCCCGATTAACGGGAGTAACACAGCCCTACGGCTATAAAAAAAAAAGTAATAATAATGATAATCAAAAACAAAATAAGTAAATATTTCAACCTGGCCTCGCACTTATAGAGTGCACATGATATCAAATATGTAAAAATAATGTCGATAATTGCGCAATAATCATAATACCATCTACGGGCGTTATTCCACAAAGTACCGTCGATGGAATCAGATAGCTAGGTACGAATGAAAATATCATCAAGATCATGCAGAGGGCAGTAATAAGCAGTGCTTGCGGAACATTAGGGAAGCACTAAATCTAAAAGAAAAGATAACTTGGAAGACTTGCCCCTGTGAAGGCCGACAACAGGTAAAGGACAGTTAATAATAATAAAATAATAATAATATTTGTTCACTCAATGTACAAAGGCACCAGACAACATGAGTAATTATATATTGAATAAAAACGGGCCTGTACAAAGACCAATAACACTGATCAACAGCCAAAAAATATCCTAAATCAAATCAACAAAATATTACTATTTTTAATGTGCTAAAACCGGAATGAAACTTATTTTTTCAATATTAGTTCAAGTTTTAGAGATACGGTAATTATATGTGACAGTGTTAATATACTGTAATTCACAAGAATGCACGTGCTACATTTTTATATTCGGCAAGGAAAGATGATGTAATCGGCATGATTGTGTTACGTTATACATACGTGTACATTATATTGTTTTATATTAGCCATTTTTTTCTCAGTTGGCTGACAGCGTTCATGCAAAATGTCTCGAAAGTATGTAAACAATCCAGATCAGTTTTGTTACGTGTGTGGTGATGTGACTTTTGCGTCTCAGAGACGGTCTATTACTCCACTAATAACAAATGCATATCAGCTTTATTTCGGTTGTAAACTAGGTGATCAAGACAAACAGTGGGCACCCCACATCTGCTGTAATACATGTACTTCAAGTCTGAGGAGCTGGTTAAATGGCAAAAAACGGTCTGTGCGCTTTGCTGTCCCAATGGTTTGGAGAGAGCCTACAAATCATATTAATGATTGTTACTTTTGCATGGTACCTTGTGTTGGACAAGCTACAGGTATGTCCAAGAAAAAAAAATCGGTTATTAACTACCCAAACATACCATCTGCGATGAGACCTGTGCCTCACAGTAACGAAAATCCTATTCCAAAACGAGTGATTCGTCAGGAAGAAGATATGCCATCAACGTCAAGAGACCCTGATTTTATACCGAGCACGTCATGCCACCAACCGCACAAAATAACACAGTCAGAATTAAATGATCTTGTAAGAGATTTAGAGCTTCCAAAATGTAAGGCAGAGTTACTTGGATCAAGACTGCAGCAGTGGAACTTGTTAGAAGACAATGTTTCGGTATGTGTTTTTCGTAAACGCCACAAAGAGTTAGAACAATTTTTCAATATGGAGAATAACTTGGTTTTCTGCAGTAACATTTACGGCTTACTGGCGGCTTTAAATATAAACTATAACCCAGAAGAATGGAAATTGTTTATAGACAGTTCAACATTGAGTTTAAAGGCAGTGTTATTGCATATTGGAAATATTTTACCATCTCTTCCTGTAGGGTATGCAGTCCACATAAAAGAATCATATGACAATATGAAGTACCTATTGACATGCATAAAATACGATGAGCACCAATGGCATATTTGTGGCGATTTGAAAAATGTTGCACTTTTACTTGGGCTGCAGCTAGGCTACACAAAGTTTTGCTGTTTTTTGTGTGAATGGGACAGTCGGGCAAAGGCACTTCATTACACCAGGCAAAACTGGCCTGTTCGTCAATTCCTAGAGCCAGGTCAAAAAAATGTACATCATATGCCATTAGTAGATTCGAAAAAAAGATTATTACCACCACTGCATATCAAGTTGGGCCTAATGAAAAACTTTGTCAAGGCATTAGATGAGATGAGATGGGTCAGCTTTTCAATACCTACGTCAGAAATTTCCAAGACTAAGTGAGGCAAAGGTTAAAGAAGGTATTTTTGTTGGGCCACAGATTCGAAATATTTTGAAAGATACACAGTTTGAAAACACTTTAACAGGTATTGAAAAAACTGCTTGGAATGATTTCCGTCTGGTGGTCACTAATTTCTTGGGAAATAGAAAAGCTGACAACTATAAAACCCTTGTCAAAAATATGCTGTCATCGTATCAAAAGATGGGCTGTAATATGTCTCTTAAGATACATTTCCTACACTCACACCTGGACTTTTTTCCTGACAATTGCGGAGCCGTAAGTGATGAGAAAAAAGGTACCAGGGAAAGTGGAATCCTTCCATGCTTGCAGACTACTGTTGGACTCTTGGTAGAGATGCTCCAGAAACGATCCATAAGAGAACAGCAAAAAGACAGCGCATATAGTGATTCTTATAAGTATATGAATCTTGATACTTTTTTTAATATATCCTTGAAAATAAAAAGTTTTTTTTCTAAACCGCAACTAATTTTTTTATTTCATTGTCATTTTTGGATTCAGCGCCCCAAAATTAACAAAGAAGTGCACTTTTCCCACAAGATACAATTAAAAAACTAAAATTTGTTGTCCAGTGTAATTAATGTTGAAGGAGTAGCACTCCATGATGAGTTGGATCAGTGTGCTTAAACACTTTCAATATGCGTCCAAAGAGTCTCCCCTACCTAGATACAAGGTGATGACGATTTATTTAGAAAGTTCTGTGACGTACAGATAAGGTTTAATGTTAAGCATCCACGCTGATTGAAGATAGGCCTTTCATAAGAATATTTTAGGATTCTTTAGATCTCAAATATTTAAGCCTGAATACCTCCAAGATGAGTGATCTGACAAAAAAAAATCTAGACAAAATTTATGGAAAACTGATTTGTTATTTACAAGGTGCACTTTTTTTTCTTTCCTATCAGGTGTCCAGGTACCCCAGTTTCTACTTCCCTGGTTCATCTTGGGCCGCGTGTTTGTTGCTTTATAGTAAGCTCACTGAATGTCTAAAATTTTAACTCTGTATATTTACGCGCTCCGTAGATACATTTTTTTTTTAAATTCGTGAAGAAAGCTTCATCACCTTGTATCTCCGTAGGGGAGCATCTTTGAGCCATTTTTATAGGAACTTTTCTTGTTATTTTTGAATGGACTTTCTACTCTAGAAATATTGGCACGTCTTTCTGAAACATCCTGTATATCCCTCTATAATTCTGAGATTCAAGGGAAATTCTTCGATGTGTGGAGCTGTCGGGGTTGGAAGCCACAAAGAGCGATCATACTAAGAGAAAAAGACAGAGATGTAACCAAAAACATGGCGCTTACAAAACAGCTTATGACGTCCAACACGTGTTGTTCTTAAAGATGACAGCGGTATCGACAGATAGATAATTCATTTTAGTTTTGAAATTCATACCTGGTAGGGATATTTATTATGCATTTGTAGTACACGAGAATATATTCTTTCGTGCAATGTATACGTTGAATGGTACAAGATATTACTGGCATTGTAATAATTCTTCACGTTCACCAATTAATCCCATGGTAAATAGCACCTATTCTTAAAAGCTTAAGACCCCATATTTTGAAAACTCTGTGGCATGCTGTAGTGAGACAATATGGAGTTATTGGAATACTTACACTAATAATGACAAGTAGAGACTGATCTTAAATTGTTTCAGAATTAGTGCTATTGGGGGATTGCTGGTGTTAGGTGCATTCTCAACGCACGGATAACAAAATTTCTAAGCTAAAAATGTTGGGATAAAATAAACTTTTATATTGTTTAAAAGTGTACCAAGAATGATTTAATTCCAGTAATCGTATTAATTGTAAAGTTTTGCTATTTTTGTTTTTTTTCGTGTTTTGAAACTCGTTGGAGGTGGATATCAGTCTTTTTGTTTTAAATTTAACGACCATAGGATCCATGATTTTCACCAATTAAACCTACAATCCGCGAACAGTACAAAATAATAACGAGAAAAAAAATTATTTGTACAAAAAACAAGACAATAGTCTTGGCTATGACACAATTTTTAGCGTCTTGTAATAGTGACAGGTACTAACTTTATTAATTACAAGTCTTATTTCTGTCTTACTGCGCCTACTTGGATGTCAAATACGGCCAGGAATTATTAGTGCATGGCTTTACTGAACGTTTAATAACTCCCTTATAACTTATAATAATAATAATAATAATAAAATGTCTTTATTAGGCACATTACGTATATATACACTACAACATAATGTGACCTCTACGTAGGCGAAGTCTAGCTCTTGGCTACTCTACTTAACCTACCCAAATACTAAATTGAAACACTCAATCAAAGGAAACTTTGACAAGCAAAAGACGCTTCAAAACAACGAGCTTGATAGCTTCCTAGCATACATATATACACACATATATTACGTAAAATAAAATTAAATGTAAGAATTAAAAACTAACTTTTCCACAATTACTACAATGACAAATAAATCTGTTTCACATGCTTACGAAATCTGTTTACTGGCCAATCCTTTATATTGTCATCTAATTCGTTATAAATCAGGATAGCATTGTAAGTGTATGAACTACGAAATAAAGTTGTTTTATACATAGGGATCTCTAGTCTTTTTTTGTGTCTGAAATCAATGTCTGAATTATTTCGTCTGAAAACAAATATCTCATAAAGATACAAGGGGGATCTAGAAGATATGATCTTATGTGTAAACACTGCTATATGGTACTTGCAAGCATTTTCTATACACATCCAACCAAGCTGAAATCTCTTTAAGGAAACATGATCATACTTCTTGAGATTAAATACAAATCGACAACAAGTATTTTGGAGTTTTTGGAGTCTTGCTTTTGTGATAGAATCAAGACAATGATAGAACACAGTGCTACAGTAAAATAAGCTTGGAAATATAATAGCCTCACATAAGTTTTTTCTAACTTTAAAATTCAAAATAGAGCGATTGACATGAAAACACTTCAACGTTGCATAACATTTTTTTAAGATAGACGAAACATGCTCCTTAAACCGTAAAGTATAATCAATAATCAACCCTAAATTTTTTGTAGTATTTACGACAGCTAGACGCTCCTTTTACATCAAGAGAATTCAATACAGTGTTACGTTTGACAGCAGGACAAAAAAGCATCACTGAGCACTTATCCTTATTGAGCTTAAGATTATTACCATTTGAGTATCCTACTATTGCCTCCAAATCATCATTAAGCTCATTGATTGAAGTATGCAAAGTGTTACTATTAAAGCTTTTATGTATCTGTGTATCATCGGCATAGCACATCACAGAAGAGTTTTTCACAGAGCTACCCAAGTCTATAGTATAAATTAAGTACAACAAGGGCCCTAAAACTGAACCCTGAGGGACACCTGATGTTATATCAATCGGACTAGATATAGTGTTGTCTATCTGTACTACTTGTTTACGATTTGAAAGATATGTTATAAAAAACATTAGAGGTATGTCTGAAAAACCAAAAAACTTCAATTTAGCACATAAAAGCTCATGAAAATGCGCTATATTCAAATGTTGATTTCTGAGCACTGTATATTTCAATTAGAATTACGATAACTAGTCTATATGTTACAGGATTAAATAACGTTGTATTGTTATTATTTAAATTACCCACCTATTATCGACACACATTTATTTAAATACTCATACAATACCCAGATAAGGTCTGATTTAAAGTGTTATCATCCGTTTGAATGACAAAAAAAAATGTTTGCATATACATCGAATTAGTATTTATTTTGAGACGTATCTATCACAAATTATAAGGATCGTTAAATCCATGCAAAATATATCTGATGCATTTGAAAGCATCTGATCATCTCTATGTTAGTTTAACATACTGCTAATTGCGGGTCCTTATTAGCTGCGTTCACTACCATGGATATCAGACTGAAACAACTGTGCTTGTGGATATTAAATATATTGAGGTTATGGTCATTTTGTTGATTCAAGGTCACTTCTTAAAGTAAAGTTCAATATATTGAACTTTATCTTAAGAACCAACCAATCGGATCAGTAGCGTTGGTCAGCTGATCGCCACAGCTGGAATTAGAAGGTGGGTACGAGCCATCGATACTGTACAAACGTCGATAGTCGATATTTATATCGTGATGTTTGATCGATTTTATATCGTTGTATGAGCAGATGGTTCGGTGATAGTTGTATGAAAAATTATTTGCGCTTGCTTACGCATGATGACAGTTTAGAGCTGAACATCGGGTCGGCTTGATAAAAAAAATCCGAGATGTACGTTAAGAATTATAATAAATAACGTCAGTGGTCATGTTTACTTCATCCCGTAATAAAGTGCGTATAGTAGTAGCTTCAGCAAAACATATCAGTATTGCTACAGCATAAAGTAGATCAAAAAACAGCATGAAAAAAATAAACATGGGTACTATTTTGTCCCTTACCAAGATAGAGGATTTTGAAATTATATTCTAGAAAACGAAAAAAAAATGGATATGATCTTAAAATTTTGTGCTTGTAGTACTTACATCATCGCTGATAGATACAAACACTTTCATGTCTGACACTGTACCAGTGGTGATGTTGGGAAATTATAGCCCCTACAGAAGAAAAAAGAGAATTTAAATCTATACCATGCCCCCCATGACATGTTTTTCCAAAATCTCACAGAACTACTAACTACGCATCAGGTGTACACCTGGCCAATGCTGTTTATTCGCAGCCCACCAAATATGTTTATTGAGGTACACAGAGGAGTGGTACGTAACTTCTTCTTGTGACATCTGTACTGTTGGTAATAACAAATCTGGTAAAGTCCAGGACCAAGTTAAGGACTGGTGTTTGGTATCACCAATGAAAATTTTTTTACACATACATGCTTTCTCTGACTGAGAATTTTGGCAATCAAATGCTGGATTGGGAATTTATACGTAATGTACAGAGCTGTATCGTCTGAAGGGGCGTGGTGAGATGACTGTGTTTCTGTTTACTGTTTGCTGACCAAATATGACAGTGAAATTATGCCAACTGTCACCGTTGTCTGTCGCACGGAGAAATGTGAGAGGATGCAGCTATGACACGCCCAGCTCCCGGAGGCACAAGGCCACCCATCTCCTTTATATAGATAACCTAAAACTATACGCTTCTAGAAAACGCGATTTAAAGCAGTCGCTTAAGATAGTGCAGGCGGCTAGTCGTGCTTTGTCTGGAATTTGGAATAAACTAATGCGCTATGATTCATCTCAAAAAAGGACGATACGGAGATGGTGAAGAGGAGGAGCAGCTCGCGGATGGGAGCATTCTGCTACATCTACATGTCGGAGAGACATATACCTTGGCGTGACGCATCGCCATATCTAAAACGCCGCCGGAGAATCTGTACCTCCAATGTTATTTTATAAGAGAAAATGGAAACACCTGAGGAGGATGAATGTGGTAGCCCAGAAACATGTTGCGATACCTCCCAGTCTCCTTGAGCCTAACATTTTAAATAATTATTTTCTTTCAATTTTCCAGACAGCTGCAGCTGATCCAAATTTGATTGATAGTGTCTCTAACTCTTATAGCGATAGACGCCATACACCGGATGCACCTCTGTCTGCTTTTAAACTCCTTACTCAGCAAGAAATCGTCAATATAATCTCTCACATTAAGTCTACGGCATGTGGCTCTGATGGTCTAACTTTAAATATGGTTTGCTTATGTTTGCCTGATACCATAGACCATATAACTCACATTATTAATGTCTGTCTCGAAACAGGTTACTTTCCTGCCAGTTGGAAAAATGGTATTATTATTCCAATAGCTAAAACTAATCATCCAGAACAATATTCGGATCTCAGGCCAATTACCTTATTATGCTTTCTATCAAAAATACTCGAAAGAGCTGTCTACTCACAACTAGTGGAGTTTTTCGAACAAAACTACTTATTTCCTCTACATCAGCCAGGTTTCAGAGCTGGTTACAGCACTACTTCGTCTTTATTACATCTTGCTGATTCCATCATTCACAATTTAGATAATCACATCAACACCGTCTTGGTCCTGTTAGATTTCTCGAATGTCTTTGATATGGTCAATCACCAGATACTAGTGAGTAAGTTATCTCATTATGGAATGTCAGATATAGTTCTAAGGTTCTTTGAGTCATACTTGCTAAATCGTCAACAAACAGTGAAAACTGATCAGGGAATTTCCTCCTCTGAGCCAGTTCCTTCAGGAGTTCCCCAGGGCTCAGTATTAGGTCCCTTACTATATCTGACTTATACGATCGATCTGCAAGACTGTTTAGTCCACTGTAGTATGCAAACTTATGCAGATGATACTCAGTTAGTGTTTGGTTTCGATCCATCAAAGGTTGATGAAGTTTCTTTTAAAGTTAATTTAGATTTGGCTAACATCGGTGATTACTGTAACAAACACTGCTTGAAGATCAATCCTAATAAAACTACTGCAATGTTGTACTGTTCGAAGAACTCCTACCGTGAAATGAAGCAGAGGATTTGTGTTTTTTTGGATGAGACACTCATCCCTTTTGTGGATTACGCCAAGAATCTCGGTGTTACCCTTGACTTAAATATGAGATTCGATCGTCATGTCTCTTTCTTATCTAGAGTAACGTATTTGCGTTTGAAACTCCTCTATTCTAATCAATATATCTTGGATATTAAAACCCGAAAAAAGCTCGCTGAAAGTCTTGTGTTGTCTGTCATTTCTTATTCTCTTGTTCTGTATTACCCATGTTTAGACTACGTCCACAAAAGGAAACTCCAGAAAATTCAGAACAGCTGTTGTAGGTTTATTTTTGGATTGCGCAAGTTTAGTCGCGTCTCAGACAAAATCAAAGAACTCAACTGGTTGTGAATTGATAAGTTATTTTTATATCTTTTGACCGTCTTCACGCATAAAGTTCTACTATCTAACAGACCAGCTTACCTCGCTAGCTAATTAGTTCACCGAGGTAGTTTTGTTACCAGAGCTCTTATATTTAATGCTAATTTTAACATGCCTCCTCACAATACCTCGGTCTTTGAAAGAAGTTACACCTATAATGCTGTCAAGCATTACAATGCAGTCAACTGGCTATCGATCCAAACAGGTTGTTTCTTTTAAGAAATTAATGAAAAGTCAGCTGCTGGAGTCTATTTAGTTCAGTTTTTCTTGTGCTCATGTGATTTTTTTTTGTTTGACTATTTTCTACTATTTTTGTTTCAAATTTAAAACTATCGCAATACTATCTGCATTTGTCTCGTGCAATCAATGTTGTCATTCTTATGAACTGTATTTTTTTTTTGGTATGTTATTATTTTGTTTATGTGTTTAAGTATTATTTTTTCCTGTTGTGGGGTTGAGTGTAGCCAACGGGCTAAACTTCGCCTCACTGCAGTTAATAAAGGCATTATTATTATTATTATATGTCTGATGTCCACCAAATTCTCTTTACATTTGCTCTGATAGTGGTTGGATAACCTCTGAACTATTCTTAGAATGACTAAAACATTTAATAGAATGTACTAGGATAGAAAAAAGTATGAAAAAACAAATGCTTTTGATCCTAGACGGTCACTCCACTCACACGAAAAACATTCAAGCCATAAGACTTGCAAGAGAATACGGAATTATAATGTTATCCCTCCCGGCACACACCACGTACCGACTTCAACCTTTGGACAAATCGTTTTTTAAATCTTTAAAGCACCACTTTAATGACGCGTCAGAGGCATGGATGCGCACACATCCGGGCAGCGTTATAAAACAGACAGATATTGCTGAACTGTTAGGCGTAGCGTATCTCAGAGCAGCTTCTATGGCTCCAGTACTGCATGGATTTGAAGCTTGTGGTTTGTGGCCACCTGATCGTCATAAGATCAGAGAAGACGATTATGTTGCAATGGATATAAGTTTAGAGGAGGACGATAGAAGCACTTTGGAAGGAAGTAATGATGAAACTGGCACTTTAACACACAAAATCATTATCAAACATGAAAGATCCTCAGAAAATAGGATAATGGAAGCTACCATAGGACAAATGTACCCATTTGATGATCCACAGCCATCTACAAGCAGTGGTGGAATAACAGAATCCAAATTTTTAAATCTCAAAGACATTGAAGATTCATCAGTGAGTGTTTTCGTAGATAAAAAAATGTCCTTAAAAGAGATCGTTAGCTCTGCTCATAAAATAGGTGAGCCAAAAGATTCAGCACAACTTATAAGGTCCCATCTCTAGAAGCTTTCTCCGATTTCAAGAATTAAAATCGTACAAAATACAGTATATTCAGATAAGAGATAGACCGGATGTAAACAAAAGGTTCGGGTGATTTTCACGCTAACGCCGCCGTCTCGACGTAAAACAGGAGCCCTCATTGGTCAATTCGCAATTAAATGCCTATGCCGAGCGGCAGAGCAGTCGTATCAATGCAGAGTCACATTCAGGTTCAGACGTGTTACGTATGTCGTGTGCATCATTGCAATTTGATATTTCTTTGGACGTTTTCGTTTGTTATCTTATTAAGTTGTTGAGTTTGTCGTTGTTCTTGTTATACCTTGTTATTGATTGTTATTGTTATCAACTGCTTGCGCAAAATGCCCAGTAGTACAGATACTGCCGATGAAGTTGTAAACTTCTGTAGTCCACCTAGGAAACGCTCTAAAAAAAGACACCTGAGTGCAGAAATGAAAGAGGTCTTTTTGAATATATATAAGATCGAGCGCGAGGAGAACGAGGCATCAACCATCAAAGAAATTGTTGTGAAGGTTTCTCACAAAGTTGGGGCGTGTCGCGCATCAGTGTTTAATGTGTTAAGACAATACAAAAAAAATCACACCTTTTCTGAGCCAATGACCAGTAAACATCGCAAAAGTATTGTTAAATCATTGGATGAAGCTGATAAGCATGCGATTAGGAGGAAAGTACACGAATTCTTCTTTAGGAATGAAATACCTACTATAGATAAAGTACTGCAGGAGGTAAATGGAGATACAACGTTGCCAAATTTCAAACGATCAACTTTCCATGCGTTACTGAAGCATTTAAATTTCAAATAGAAAAAACGGGGTCGTAATAGTTTACTACTGGATAGAGAAGAAATTGTGCTATGGAGGAGGGATTATTTAACAAAAATTGGGAAATATAGAAATCAAAACAGGAAGATTTATTACCTTGATGAAACATGGGTAAACGCAGGACACACTACAAGTAAAGTATGGGTTGATGATTCTGTAACTTCATCCAGGAGGGCCTTTCTAGATGGACTGTCCACCGGATTAAAAAATCCAGCAGGTAAATACGAGTAATAGACAACAATCGGATGTTTTTCAAACCTTGGGAACAAGGTTCTAAACATTAATTCCAGGGGGCAGATAAAACATATTACAAGTAACAAAACTTTTATAACTTTCGATAAAATGCGTGGATGTTTTATTGTCATTTTCATTTGTTAGAACTTTTTTAAGCCATGTTTTTATGTGTTTTCGATATTTCAATAATTTTTTAATATAATCTTAAAATATGTCGAATATTATAAACTTAAAAAAAGTTACTAAGTTTTGTATTGTGTACCGTTCCTAATATTTCTAATCATTTTAATTCATACTTTAAGCTTTATAAAGTTATAATTTGTTAATATTAATATTTGCGCGTATTTCAGGTTCCTGATCATTCATTTTTTAGAGGTTTATAACTTTAAATTAAATTGTGAAGCGCTGAGTAATCATACGACGTTCAATATTCTTTCTTTCAATATGACTAAATAATCCCAATTATAGCAATCTGATACTCATGTCTCAATGTTTTTTCGCTGAATGTGATGAAAACATTTGAAAAAGGTTCGTTTATTGAAATAAATCTACACCAGTTAGTACTTCGATTTCCAGGTAAACGGAAAAGGTCCATTATCTGCCATATTGGCAGTGAGGATGGATTTGTTGTTGACGGTCTGTGGTGCTTTGAGTCTAAGAAAGCTGGAGATTACCACGAGGAAATGAATGGCGAATCGTTTGAACAGTGCTTTTCAAAAATTTTACCGAACTTAGAGGAAAACGCAGTAATTGTGTTGGATAATGCGCCTTATCATTCTCGAAGAATGGAGAAGGTCCCAACAACGGCTTCAAGGAAAGTTGATGTTCAAAATTGGCTCCGTTCGAAAAATATCAACTTTGAAGAAGCAATGCTGAAAGTACAATTATTAAGAATTGTCAAGGATCACAAGGCGGAATATCAAAAATACGCCATTGACGAAATGGCAGCAAGTCAAAATAAAACTGTGATCCGTTTACCTCCATACCATTGCGAGCTCAATCCCATTGAGCTCATATGGGCAGAGGTTAAAAATTATATAGCTAAGCACAATACAACTTTTAAATTTTGTGACCTCAAAGGACTTTTCAAAGAAACACTAGAATTAATAACAGCGCAAAAATGGGAAAACTGTATTAAGCACGTGAAAGACAAAGTTGAAAAGAGAATGTGGGAACTGGACAACATTTTAGAGGAACAAGTCGAGCCATTCATTATTGACGTTGGTGCTTCAGGCAGTAGCGATGATGAAAGCTCATCAAGCTCATCTTTCCAATAAAAGATGTCGTTCATCAAATTCGGTAAGTTATAAGTAATTATAAAGCTACTGTATTTTTTAATTAATTATTGACATTTTTGAACCCATTTTGGCAAAACCTATTCAAGAAAATACTTTCTGACAATGTTCAACCATGCACATTTTTTTACGTTTTGAACGTTTTAATTTGGTTACATATTTACCTAGAAATCAAAAAATATACTAATCAATATTCTAAAAGCAATTTTAAGAGATATACGATTATTTTTAATTTAGGCTAATTTAAACGCCATTTTGAGATTATATTCGACTGTATTTCACCAAACATCAGACGGCATCCGAAGTTGGAAATCGAAGCGAAAATTTTGAAACCCTTATGTATATTTACATCATTATATATTTCTTACCCCACCCCCACATGATCCTATATCCATCACCAATCGTATACACACCGAATTGTGCTAATTTACTACAAAGTTACGCAAAGCAGCATCTACTATCTAAAATATGTACTGCGTGACTCTTAATACGTCCCTGCCGAATGTTACAGCGTTCGATAATCACGTGGTCTTGTTTATGTCCGGTCTATCTCTTATCTGAATATACTGTAGGCTGTCAAAAGGTACTATAGCAGCTCAAGTTATAACCGAAAGTCCATACAAAAATGACTTAGAAAAGGAAACTGATGAAAATGAGAAGAAGAAAGTAAAATTAAACCTAAATAAAGAAGCCAAGTGATACGCCAACAAGAATAAATCAAAGGAACCAAAAACAATCAACACGGAAAAAAAGGGGACATCAGAAACCTGTGGAAATGGAGAATGGCACTGCATAATTTGTAACGAAAATAGAAAAGAAAGTATGATTCAGTGCACAGTTTGCAAGTTCTGAGTACATGAACTATGTGTTGGAGTTGATAAGGAGACTATTACATATCAATGCGACAATTGTAGTACGTGAATAAGTACGATTTAAGCACACCAAGGTACGAATTAAGATCAATGCTCCTATTTCGTACTTTTTACACGATTTTTTGATACCGAAAATTTTCAGTGTTTTCAAGTTCTTATGTGTATTAAGTTGTAACAATAAGCTTAAGAATTAAATGAAGTTTACGTTTATATGCTTGCTGTTGTTGTTTAAGTATTAACAATCCCTATAAAATAAAAATGGCTTAGGGGTACGATTTACGTATAGTTACCCTATGTTGTGTTGTCAAAGCCAGTTTTGGGCATCTCTTGAGTAAGGGCATGATACTAGGTCTGGCCAAACATGATATGGTCATTAGAATGATGTTCATGGACAAACTGAAGCAATTTGGAAAAAGCAGTTATCTATATAGTTCTGACTATACAAGGCTGCACCCCTCACTCCTCCCACAAAAGGTTGGGATACACCCCTGTTAGAAATTGCGCACCAGACAATGATTTTATCTGCAAATTTCGCTTTATGTTTGTATTTAACATTGCCAGGGGATTCCTCTACGTAGTCTATAATGATGATTTTTTTCATTGGCAAAGTGTAACCGCCTCAGTTGACGACAGCATCTTGATGTACGAAAGAGTATTAGGTGGCACTTAAGGCACTTAAGTCTCTTTCGATATTTAATACCATTCCCCTTCAATTTTAATAATATCGTGCTCTTAGGAGATCTGACCTTCCACTTTTTGGAAGATTCAGACATAGTATTCCCAGTTCGCACTCCGCTAATGTTCGATTTCTGCTTTGGGTATCCGCCCAACCAACGTGTGGATACTTTTCCTTATTTCAAATTTATACGACATCATATAGCGAAAACTTCAAAATTAATATCAACTGACAGTAAGTAAGTGAACGAACTTTTGTTTTCAAAGGCAACTTTATATTATTTTGTGTTTGTTAAAATTAAGACCAATGAATTTTGTGCCAAAACTTTTAGGAGATACATTATTATTGACCACAGGCAATGACCAATAGAGTACCCCCACGTAAAAACATGTGTTGACACGTGGACCCGAGTTTTGTTACGGTAACTTTTTTGTAGGAAATCGTATTCTCTGGAAGAAAGGATAATAGTCCTTATACGTTTAGGTTGTTTTTTTTAGCCACTTCACACTTACATTTCTCGGAACCTGTTGAATGCATGACAAATTTTCGTAAAATCTATTTTCTCATAAAATTATTCCTACATAGGATCGATGGTTTCCGAGATTTTTTATCAAAAGTGTTTACCAAAATGGCGGCAAATCCTCCAGCCCTATCAAGACGCCAATTTGAACTCATCATTAGAAAGCAATTATCTATCGATACCAAAAAAAATGTACTGCCGCCCAAATTGTAGGAAATATTTACCTATTTCCTGGACTATGAAGTGCAATTATTGTGGGCGTCTTCATAATAAGTAAACCTGTAGGGTGTGAGGCAGAACATGACGAAAATAATCGCGAGGACAGTTCATTGAACTGCTTCCGTTAGATGTAATGATGGGAAGAGCAAATTTAAATTTCAAACATGTCAACACAATAAGTCTTAGGAAGAAGACCCCAGACGTGTTTCTGCTGGCGAGTTTTGTGCAAAGCTTATTTTGAAATCAAATATAATTGACAGCTTTTATTTTAAGACTAACTTGTACAGTTTGGTTGCATTCTGAA